GTCTTTATTCGGCAGTTCCTTATAGTATCCTCATTTGTGACAAGTTCCCATATCAGGTTATATATTTAAAGTAATTATTGTTGGAAATAGAAATTCAAGCCAGAGGATGATTAAAATTTGCAATAATTGTTTCCATCTAAATATTATAAATGGTGCATATGACACACTATTCAACACACTATGTACCAGCTCGTAACAGCAATGACTTCTCAAATCTAATTAGAATAACTAGGGGTGGTTGGAAAAGCAAAAGAAAAAAAGTAATTATGCCAACATACAGATGTTCTTATGTACAAATTAGCTAATAAACTGAACTCACTTTTAAATATTTATTAACTAATTAATTTTTATTTATTAATTTATTTTATTTAAATTTTGTGATTATCATACTACTGTTGTACTGGGGGTTCATTGTGACATTTACTAAAGTGCTTGCAATATATCATACTTAAATTCACTCCCTGCATTATTTTCCTTTACCCCCTGTCCCCATTCTTAGAATAGTTTTAACAGGTCTCATTTTTCCATTTTCATTCATGAATGCATAGTATTTCTACCATAGTCACCTTCCTGCATTCTTTCCTTATATCTTTCCTCCTCCCATTCATTTTAAAATGATCATCCAATCTCTGTCTTTTAATTGGAGAGCCAAGACCATTTACATTCAGGGTTTTAATAAAAATGCAAATTTCTGTCATTTTGTTGCTTTTCTGATGTTCGATTCTATTCTAATTTTCACTTGCTTATTTATTCTCATAGTGAAATTTATTGCTTCCTGTACTCTTGTGGTTGTGTTTGTCTTCCTGTTCTGCATGTAGAATTTCCTTAAGTATCTTCTGCATTGCTGGCTTATGGTCATGAATTGTTTAACTTTATGGTTTTCTTAGAAAGCCTTTACTTCTCTTTCAATTCTGAAGGTTAACTTTTCTGGATACAGTTATTTTCTTTCAGGACTTGCATTATATCTTCTAGTACCTCCTGGTCTTTAGAGCTTTTATTGAGAATCTGCTCTTATTATGATGGGGTTGGCTTTGTAAGTGAGTTGTTGCTTCTCTCTTACAGTTTCAACTTTCTTTTTTTTCCTGTACTCTTGGCATTGTAATTATACTATGACATGGGAAGATTCTTTTCTCATTATGTCTATTTGGGGTTTTAAATGTACCAAATGACCATGTACTTCCACATACTTTAGGAAATGTTATGCTATCATTTCATTGACTAGATGTTCTATGTTGCCTTTAGTCTTTCTCAGTATCTTCTTCAGCACCCAAGCATGTCCCAGTGGTCTTGCATGTTCTGCTCTTAATTTCAATTATTTCTGAGTATTCTAATTCATCCACCTTTGTCATTAAGCCTTGGAATTCTCTTTTCTGCATGATCTGGCCTATTGATGAGGTTTTCCACTGAATTTTTTGTTTTTTTAAATCCAAAGTAGCTTTATTTATAACAACTTAAAGTGAAAACTACCAAAATGGTCATCAGCAGGTGACAGAAGAAACTGTGACATTGCCATACAATTAAATAGTGCTCATCAATAAATAAAACATTTGGAATATGGAACATGAAAGGCCCTAAAAATAAAAAATACTGAGAACACACATTATATAATTCTTTTGCATGAAATTCTAGAAAAGGAAAACTTAGCATGACAATAGGCAGATCTCTGTTGATTGAAGAGGAAGGTGATCACAAAAGGAAGGAAACAGCTTCTCAGGGTTTATGGTAATATCGTAGATCTTGATTTTAGAAGCTGTCATCAGGATAAATTTTTGTGTTTAAATCCCTTAAACTGTTGCATTTAAAGTCAATGTCCTTTAATTAAAAACTTTCTTTAACAAAGCTGGATAACAGTAGTAAGTTCAAGGGCCAATTGTATCTTCACATCCGTTCTTGGAGTGCATTGGAAACCATTTGAACAGGACTTCTGCAAGTTCATCTCCACTAAGTTTTTAATTGAACTTATTAAGCTTTTCATTTTCAAGTGTCACTTGCTGGTGTCGAGAGTCCCTGCCTTCACAGGCCAGAGAACTGGCTCATGAGGCAGCTGAATGAGGAGACAAAGCCTCCTACCATAAAGTAGGATTTATTAGAGAGAAAGGAAAGGCTATAGCTAGAGAAGCGCAGGAGAGCTCAGAAGCTGTTAGCTTGCTGCTCAGGTGAAGGCTGGGGTTTTTGTGGATGTTCTAACTCTGGGTTAGGTGGGTTTTTCTCATTGGCCATGGATTTGCAGGCTTTCTCAGGTGAACTGGTTTGTTTTGCACCTTTATTGGGGGAGGGGAAACAATCTTGAGAGCATTTTGCTCATCAGCCTTGTGGCAGATCTATCAGACTCTATTTCTTCTTTAGGATGCAGGAATGCAGGCCTCTAACCCCTCAGGATGCTCTCTATGGGGTTGGGATACTCACTCATCTGTCTTAGGTCTCCAGAACCAACACAAAATTTCTGCTTTTCTTTATTTTTAAATCTCTCTTTACTGAATTTCTCATTTATATCCTGTATTGTCTTCCATTATTTATTCAGATTATTTATATTGTTTTAGAATTCACTTATCTTTAAAAAATTGTTCCTTTGAATTATTTATCTGATATTTCTTATACTTTAATACCTTAGGAGTCAGTTGCTACAGAATATGAACTTTAGAAGAGTTATATTGCTTTTTTCTTGTTTTCTGTATTTCTGTGTGGGGTTTTGTGTATCTGTTGGATTAGATATCTCTCCCACATTTATGTGAGGAATTTCTTAGGGAATAGCCATCTCTAGATTATGTGTTCTGGGTTATCAGAAATATTGAACATATTTACTATTGGATTTTGTGTTATAGTTTCCCTTTTACTTCTTTGGTGGTGATTAATTACTTTGACATAGTGCATACTGTATCAGGGCTTATAGGTGCTGCTTTCTCCTTAGCTCTCACAAAAATGGGGAACTTCTAGCAGATCAGACAGTTGAGTTGTAGACAGTGTAGTATATGGGGTATGTCCCCTGTGATTACTCCTCTGGTCTTGTCAATAATGTAGTTTGAAAGGCATAGGAGCAACTTGTGATGAGCCCCCTCATATGTGTAGTGTCTACAGTACTTTTTTCCTTTCCCTCTACTGTCACTATAGGGGTGGAAGTGCTATCCCTACTTGGATCCTGGTCATCAGCTGGGTTTTAAAAATCTCCCATATTCTTTGAGATAGGAGTTTGATGTTTGAGCACGTTTGGTTGTCTATAGAGCAATGTGGCCTGACTGTTAGCTGGGCTGGGAGAGTATCTACATCTCATACTGAAAGTGTCATGCTTGATCCTCAGCGCTGTTAGAAAGGGAAAAACAACTATGACAGCAAAAAACAGCAATGAAACAGATAAATGAATAACGTAAAAACCAAGTACTGACTGTGATATCCACAACTCTAGCAACAACAACAGGAATGGTGGGGGCAGAAGTAACAAAGTAAAAAATTTTAAAAAATTGGAAAAGTAAGAAAGAGGAAAATGGAAAGCAAAAAATTATGTTAGAATATTCAAAAAGTAAAAGGTGGAAAGTGAGTGGGGGTTGGGGAGAGATAGAATAGGAGAATTTACTACTAGAAATAAAGGAAGAGAGAAAGACTAACAAAAGAGTCAGGAGAATAATAAAAAGAAAAGACACATTTAAAAAAGAAAATAAAAGGGGGAAATATATACTAATCAATCAACTAATCAGCAAGTTAAAAATAAAGGTCTCAAGAAAATAGTAAGAAAATTAAGGTACTATTTGTGCTGGGCAGTCATGTGGGTGAGTGGGTAGTCACCACTTGCTTCAGACCTGCATCTCTTTCTGTGTCTTCTTGGGCTTAGAGAAAGCAAAGGCTAAGAATATCCACACTTTTATTTTTTGTGTGATGCTTGCCAGTTGGTCAGTGGCTTGGGTCCAGAGTTGTTTGAAATGGCTGTCGGTTTCCTGCTCACCTGCACATGGTAGCATGCAATCAAAGTTCCCTCAGCTAGTTTTCTCCAGATGGATTAGGCTGATATAACTCTACAGCTGGGCTGACATTGAGCTCCACTGCACTCTGGATCTCAGGAGACCCCATGAAAGCAGCGTGGAGGGTGGGGAAACACACTCTGCTGGTTGTGTGTGTGTGTGTGTGTGTGTGTGTGTGTGTGTTTATGAAAGAATGCATGGGAAGTGCTCACTAGAGTATTAATAGTAATTACTCAGAGTGGTAGGATTTCAGATGACTTTTAAATATCTTTATACTGTAATGATTGAGAATTATTATAAATATTATTTGTATGATAAAAAAAGAGTGAAGTATTTTTAGTGTGGTTGTAAAGAATTACATTAAATAAGTCTCTCTTGAGTAGAAAGAAATGCCAGAATATCCCTTGCAGTTGAAAATGTTAGTAATAAGACCATTGGAATCACAATTGAAGACACAGAAATGGAGAATTGTCTCAGCAAGGCAAAATTTACTTCTGCAGAAGAGCGTGCAGGCACATGGGCACACAAAGGGGCAGGATAGCCTGTCCCTTCTTATATTCCTGATAGGACTGGCCCTGCCTCTTGACCTGGATTGGTCCAGATCAAAACATCACAATCTTCTCCATTGGCTGAAATGCTATACTAACATGGGAGAGGGGTTAAGATGCACAGCATGGAGGGCAATTTTCAAGGGCAAAAGGGGCTTAGAAGGAATCCGAAGAAGAGCCTCGAATTACAGGCAATCCAGGTAATTAAAATGGCAACACACACTTTGATAGAAAAGACTGCTTTCTCACAAAAAGAAAGCTAAAACACAGAATTAATAAAAGAAACTCAAATATACAAGGTACCATTCAGATAATGTGATTCTGCCTGAAAGGAAAATAAGTTCTGCTACAATAGCTTAAATATCAGTACACTTTTTTTTTTTGCTATCCTGAGGTTTGAACCCAGAGCCTTGAGTTTGCTAGTCAGATCCTCTACCACTTGCACCATGCCCCCAATTAGTAAGTATACAATTTTTACTTTGATATCTCTGAAGATTGATTTTTATATTTTAATACCCAGTGATATTTTTATTACTCTCTATTACTCTGTACATCTATCTGTGTATTTGTATCTGCTTGTCAAATTGTAAATTATATTACGTCTTGGATCCACACTTATTTTGATGAAGAGTTCTTGTCAATAAATAAGTGTGAGCATTACAACTCACGATGGATAGTAAATGCCTATGGACACAGCCTTGGGACACTTCTGTACATCGTGATATAATTATAAATAGGCGGTGACCCACGAGTGGCTATATGCATTGTTTGGAACGTTCCATGCTTTCTCGCCCCTTAATAGGTCTGTTTTCTTTTTTTTTTGAGACAGGGTCTAACCATGTAGTCAAGGATGGCCTTGGACTTGAGAGCCTCCTGCTTCTGGCTCCTGAGTATGGGGATCACAGACCTACACCACGGGCTTGATTTCTATCCCTGGCTTTTATATGTGCTGTTCTTTTTCTTGCTGCCATAGCAACTTAAAATTTCCTGCTTTATAGAGTACTTTGCTCCATTTACTCTGGCTAACATGAGTTTGTAAATCCCACAGGGAAGGAAATGTGTCTTGTTCATTTATGTAAAGTGGTTTACCTGCCAGTTCAGTGGATAGAATATTGAATGTGCTTAATTTTCTGAAATGGCGACATGACCATTGAGGAAGATGACATAATTGTAAGAATCACCACGTACAATTTTTCACAGTTTATTTACTCTTGCAGGTCCTCAGAGAAGGAAAACATTTTTTACTTTGTACTAACACAAAGAATTTAAGTGAGATGACACCAAGATTTCGTTAGTTTCCTTTCTTTTTTACTGGGTCTCAATAATCATCTCTCTTTCTAGTGTCCCAAAGAATTATGAATAAATGTTTCTCTGGTTATAGTTTTACAGTGAGATGGCTTTAAAATTTGTTCTTTTAATATGGAAATTAAATATTGTTGTAATGTTTATTTCAATGCAATACATGCATATAGAATGAAGATTAAAAAATATAAAAGCATATATAGTGAAAATGTCTCCTCTCTCTATCCCCAGATACTCAATTCTCTTTTCCCAAATCAATCACTGTTAGTACTTTCTTTTTTCTTCTCTTTAAGAAACATGATATATTTATGAACAAATACACACATATCTCTGTAATCTTTCTTCATGAATGAACTTTTCCCTTAATAATCTGTACTTTATATTAAAAATATGCACAGCTCCTTATTTTAACAGTCCTATAGTTTTCTGTTTTATGGATATATAATAATTTGTGTAATTAGTTTTTTAATTAATGAGAATTTGGGTGGCTCCAAATGTTTGCTATTAGAAACAGTAGTCAATATTCTTGCCCATATGCTATTTTTCTTATGTGCATATTCCAGTAAGATACATGTCTAAGAGTAAAATTGCTAGGTCAACAGGAAAACCGTTTTATTTCAATAGTTAGTGGCAAAAAGTCTCTGTAGACACTGTACCAATTTGTGTTCTGTTAACAAAGGATAAAACTGCTATCTTTCCCAGTGTCACTTTTGATCTTTGTCATTTTTGGGAAAAAGAGCTATATTTATGATAGTTTTATTTGTATTTTTTTTCTTTATGAATAAGATAGAATGTCCCTTATATGCCCAAAACGTTTTACTATTGACTTATTTCATGTACTTGACAGTTATTCTATTGTATCTGAAGGTATTTATATATTTCAAAGATGTAAATCTTTAATTGATTAGTTAATAGCACTATGAGAGATGTTCTGGAGGACAGAAGCTCAGCCCAGCTACAGGAATAAAGACAATTTGGTGTTTTTGAAAGGCTAGTGAGAAACTTCAGGTTTTGTCCTGAAGTTGTGGTTTTGTGTAACTTATAAGGGCAATACAAGGAAAAAACAAGAGGTTTCATTGTCCCGGTTGAAAATAAAGGGTGAGACTTTCTCTTCTTCCTTTCCTCAGAACATTTACTTTAGAAAACGTGTAATGAAGTGCTTTCTCTTTCTTCAAAAGATACATGTAAGTCATTTTTTAAAGGTGAACTGAGCTTCTGGCCAGCTTTATGACCCAGGGACATCTTTTTCAAGGACCTGGACACAGGTCCTGGAGGTTACCTCCAGGGAAGACGGAGCTTTCATCTCCTGATTTCTGTAAGAAGGCAGGGGCCTGACTCTCATTGGCTAATTTCCAAGTGCAAAGCTAATTTGTCATAAAAGCATGAAGCTATTTTTCCTTTGTGTAAAGCCACACAGCAAATTCGATGGCCACCCCAATTATCAGTTAACGTAGGGTGACATCTTCTGACACGTTGTGCTATCATGATGTCTTGAGGACTAATTTGTGCTTATCTCAAGAATATGTACACAGTGGGTTGTGTTCACTTTGCTACATAAAAGGTGAGATTTGTATCCATGTCTGCAGTCACTTAGTGATTGTCTATGATGTACATTGCACTGTTGTTTAATAACAGGACTGTTTTCTTTCTCTTCTATTTTTGTGGAGAGGCTTTCTGGTTTAGCATAAAGTTTGTTTTTAATTATATTTTCCCAACATTTTAATAAACTGGTAGCTCTATCATTTGTAAAATCAGAGAGCTAGAAGGCATCTTTTTGATCTCTTACAGCTCTACAAATTCTAGGAAATAATAAAAAGAAATACTTTCTGAGTGATAATGGTTTTCTTTTTAATTAAAAGGCAAAACATATAGGTTCTTAAATTTTTAAAAAATATGAATCTTACTCATATATTTTTAGTAAATTCTTCATTGCATGTTTCATATCTTTGTTCCTCAGACTATATATAAAAGGATTAATGAGTGGAGTGACAACAGAATAAAACAGAGTCACAATCTTCTGCATTCCAGCTTCATGCTCAGATGTTGGGCTCACATACATGACCATCACTGAGCCATAGAAGAGTGAAACCACAGCCAGATGGGACCCACAGGTGGAGAAGGCCTTTCTTCGTCCAGCTGCTGAAGGGACCCTCAACACAGCTCTGATGACTAGAGCATAGGACCCCACAATGAAGAGAAATGGAATAAATAAAAGTAAGGAACTTAAGGAGGAGCTAGTCAACTCTATGATAGGGTTTCTGGTACAGGTGAGGGCTAGCAGAGGACCTGGGTCACAAAGGAAGTGGTCAATAATCCTAGATCCACAAAAGGACATCTGGGAAATGACAGTGATAGGAACCAGGAACCACAGGAAACCAAATGACCAGCAACTGACCACAAGGATGTTACAGAGATGCCCAGTCATGAGAGTGGGGTAATGTAGGGGCCTGCAGATGGCAAGATACCGATCAAATGCCATGACTGCCAGAAAAAAGCACTCTGTGGAACCCAAGGAGAAGAAGAAGTAGAACTGGAGAAAGCACCCAGAGAAGGAGATGACCTTGGTGTGGGAGAGGAAGTTGGCCAACATGTTGGGGACTGTGGAGGTGATATACCAGATCTCCAGGAAGGAGAAGTTGGCCAGCAGGATGTACATGGGGGTATGGAGTCTCTGATCCCAGCGCACAGCACAGATGATGGAGCCATTGCCCATGAGGGTCAGGAGGTAGACAACAGAGAAGAGCACAAAGAGGAGGACCTGCCCCTGCCTGGGGCAAGGGAAGCCCAGGAGGATGAAGCCAGTTATGGTGAAGTTGTTGTGTGTATTGATGGTTTTCATGTGTCTGTGAGCACTAAAAGCACCAGAAATTACTGAATGACAGTGCAAAGACAAATATAACTCAAAAATGTCTTTAATCCATCTTGGGGAAGTAGTACATATTTATGTATCAATCATTTTTATCTAATCCCAAAATGCTGTTCTCTCAGACGGTAGTTGTTGGTCTAATGCCACTGTAACTACAAATGATATCAAGGAATAGAATATCACTTGTGTCTCCCTCCCCAGCCCCCAGCCTAATCACTGTCTGTATCTCTCTGCCCTCCAATTGTAACATTCTTTTTTCCCTATGGTAATCATTTCTTTGTTTTCCTTATAGTTTACTAACTAAGTATGCGTTTCTTAATAATTGTTCATGGTTTTGCCTATTTTTGTACTTTCCATAAGTAAAATTATACTTTTGGACTTTTGGTTCAAAGCAGCAAGTTTGTGAAGTTCATATTGCTGCATGTATCTACAGTTGGTCCATTTTTACTACTCTGAACTGTTATATTGTATGAATAAAGCACCACTTGTTAGCCACACTACTATAGGTGAATATTTTGGTTGATTTCTAGTTTGGGTCTATTAGGAGCAGTGTTACTAAGACTAAATAGTTCATCTCTCCTGGTTCACATGTGCAAGCACTTCACCAGAGTGTATTTATCTTCAGCCTTAGTCAATTAAGCTAAACAGTTTTCCTTGCACTATTTTTCACTCTTCCTGGCTGTATGAGAGTTCTTACTGTTAAGGTCCTTCTCTATTGTTAAGGTCTTTACCAAAGCCTGAGAAATTATAGAAAGGATGCATTTTGACGGCTTCTCTTTCTTTCTTCGAATAATGTCATATGGGGTAGCTCTCTTTTTCACAGTAGTTTTTCTATAACTAGATTTTGTAGTTATATGAAATCTTTTCTCCTCTTAAGAGAGAGTATTCCATAGTGATAAAGAAAAAAAGTCCCCAAACCTGGTATAGGAGAACATTTAATGCAGGCTGTAACTTACAGCTGAGAAGTTCACTATTCATGTACAAAGAGCCCTGTGATTAGACTTGTGATTTAAAGCAGACCTTTCTTTTCTGTACCTCTTGCTTTCCCCACATACTTGCACCAAGAGTGAGTTCTTTGAATTGTCTCACTTAGGCGCATCTTCCTGAGCAGCGAGTTTCAAGCAGAACTTTGCTCTCAGCTTAATATCAGTTTCCTTGAGATGTAACTTGTTTAGAGGCCATTAGGAATTAGCTTACTGCTTTACACCCAGAAAACTTCTAATAAAAATTCATAAAATGAATAAATAAATTCATTCACTCAGTTGAGAGAGACAGAGAGAGAGAGAAAGAGAGAGAGAAAGGGAGAGAGAGAGAGAGAGAGAGAGAGAGAGAGAGAGAGAGAGAGAGAGAAACCTACATAGGTATTTGGAACAAAGCTAACTTAGATTGTGTGGCTGTGGAATAGGCTACCCTAGGAAGTATTTGGAAACAGTTTTTTTCTTTTCAAATAGTTACATTTCCGATTCATACTATTTGATAATGCAATCTACCAATTCTGGGTCCAAAACATTCAAATTAATTGCAGGATGTGGCTGCATGTGACTTCTATGAAAACAGTTCTTTAGATAGCTAGAGTAGACAAAGCTGAGGGATAGAATCATCATTAATTTGACTTTGCTGAGGTAGATCTTTGATTGTCTGGATGGGAATATAAACCTATAAAGCTCATTGGATCCTAACTCAGTTATATAAATGTGGAAACTGCCATTATTGATACGATGTTAAGGTAGTTTTATCAGGAAACTGGAGAAGAAGAGAAAACATTAATTTTTTTTGCTCCCTCTCACTGCCTGGGAGCACCTCAGAGAACCTGTGGATGGTTCTGCTTCTGCACAATGACTTCATGTTTTTCTGAGTTAAAAAATCCGAACAGTCTTCGGTTAGTAATCCTGCAGTTAGACCTTGGACTTGGTTATTATAATCCTTGTAAATAGGACAAGCACAAGGAATGAATATCTATTTTCCATTGTCAGAATTACTGTATCAATCAATCAATCATAAATTATTTTTGAATAATTTATGACCCAAGGAGTCCGACAATGATCTATTTGGAATTGTTGAAATAGTAAGACTGTTTGGATAAAAGGCAGACAGTGTCAGGGGACGAGCAAAATTATCAGTATTTTGGAACTCATAAAATGTACGCAAAACTTTCCTTCTCTGACTTAGAACTAATTCTAAGATTAAGATTTTATCTGACTTCCATAGGATCCAATAGTATTCAAGATTCTGCTAGTTTATGCCTTAGTTTATATTACCTTAGTCCTCATAGTATCTTAACTGTGGAAAGAACAGATTGTTGTCCTTGTACCATAAACTTATATTTTCTAACCCTCTTTTCTGCTGTTAGTTTAAGGACATGTGACTAGAGACTGAGAATGAATTTCAGATATCAAATATTCATTTCTTTGAAGGTGAATTAAGCTGGATATAGAAATGTTGAATATATTTTGTATTATACTATGAAAACATTAAGAAGATGGCAATTTCTGAAGAAACCATTCAACCAAAAACCTGTTCTTTAAATGGGGCTGTTAATGGATGTTGGAACCAGGAGAGTTACACTGACCACTAACCAACAGAAAAACTGATTCAAGGGAACACTAACTATAACATGTCAAGGTGATTTGGACTTTAAATTCCATAAAGTAAAAGAAAAAAATCCATTTTAGATCTGCAGGTTTAGTATCAACTCAGAGAAAAGTCACTCAAGTCTTTGTAAATCAAAGGATTTTCTATTAATGATTGGACATTTTTAATCAAGGTGTTCTAAATGTCTTTTTTTGAGGTAGTTGCTTTCCTCATAATTTCAAAGTATTTTCAACACTTTGCGTAGATTAATGTTCAAGAACTTTTCCACCTGACATATTTTGATGTTCATTTCTTTCATTTCTCAGCTCTCATAGCAAGGCCATCAGTAAGACCTGCTGCTGCTATTGCTGAATTGTAACCCACGCACTTCTCTTTCTCTCCGCTGTCTTCTCTCAAACTGAAATTATTACTCCCCAGAATTTTTGCCTATGGTCCATTTTTGATATAGTAGCAGAGTATTCCTTAAAAACTGAAAACCAATTCTGTTAGACCTTTGAGTAAAACCATTCCCTCTCAGAGCAATTCTGTCAGGAAGCCTTACAAACCTGTTTTAGAGAATAGGAAAAATGTAAAGACAATTCTGGGTGAGTCAACATCATTTTATGCTCACCCTAACATACGTAGTCAGGTTGCATTGTTACTCACCTTTTATTTCTTACCACTTCCATGCAAAAGAAATTATGGTGTTTGCCTACCGTAAGTCTAATCTGGAGTAGCCAAATAAACCAACTACACTAAAACAAAAAAATCTAGGCCTGGTGGTATAGCTCAGTGGTCAAACATTTGCCTAGTGTGTGAAAAACCCTGTGTTCAATCCCCAGCACTGCAAAAATCAAAAATAAACAAAAAGAGTCTGTGGGTTCATTCTCCATTGGCTGTGAAGGATTCTGTGACTGCAGATACAATATTATGTTTATAGACCCAGGCTGTTTGGATCATTAACTGCCTTTTTTGGGGATCTGTTTGCTTGTTAGGTAAGACAACCACAGAAGAGTTGAGGCAGACTATGTATGACTGAGCCATACACAGTGTGAGAGGAAGATATTTCCTAGGTATTTAAATTTTCCGTCGAAGTTTGATACAGCAGAAGCCTTGGTACTTAACTTTGTTGTCTGCACAACAAAGTTGTGCAGTTATGTGTCACAACACAATTTCCTCCTTTAGTCATTTGCAGTTTTAATGAAGGGCTAATATGCCTGCTATTCTGCACAATCTGTTTCTAGAAACACTTTAAGAAGCAAGGATAATTATTAGATTACCTGGACCAGCAAAGGGAATCCCAATGAAAGTCTTTGGAAGTCTCCTTGTTATTTTCTTAGAGAGTAGCAAGGGTCTTTTTGGCAATAACCAGAGAGGAGAGAAAAGCTGGCAATTGATAAGGATGTTTGATTTCATTGCTGAAGGATGGAAAGGTTTTAAGCAGAGTGTCAGGGACTAAGTTACTCTGCTTCTCCTGATCCCTGAGGATCCATTTACTGCTTCTAAAAGGAGAGCAGTGCCAAGAGACAGCTTTGCTCCTACTATTCACTTCCCTTGGGGCGTGTCTTAATTTCTGCTTTTGTTGTTTTTAATGTCAGTTGATATAAGATCTTTTGCTTGCTTTAAACTTCTCACTAGTGAAATGAAATATTAATAAACAAATAATTTGATTAATTAATCAACAAATAACATTGTATCTAACTCCTGTAAGTGTGCCTACCATATGCCAATGAAAAATCTTATGAAGCTGAGGGGAGAGCTCTGCAATTGATCTAACATTCCGAGCTGGGTGTTCATGCTAGTCATTCCGAGCTGGGTCATGCCAGTCTCTGGTTGGACAGAAAAGATAAGCAGAAGTAAAGCGTGAATGTGCTACAGTTTCCCCCAAAATCGTGTGACTTAATGAAGTGACATATATACACCCTGTGACACCACAATCACCACTGTAACTGAGAGAGTCACCACAACCACCATCCCCAAAGTCCCTCATGCCCTCTGCTATCCCCCTCTTACTCCTCCTTGACTTCCTTTCTGGATGACTATCTATTGTCCTTTCACTACAGATGAGTTTGCACTTTCCACAGCTTAGGGGAAATAAGTCAGGCACAGAGAGACAAATGCTGCATGTTGCCACTTAGAGTGCTAGCTAAAATGGATGGAATTGGAGAACATCATTCTGAGTGAGGTTAGCCTGGCCCAAAAGACCAAAAATCATATGTTCTCCTTCATATGCAGACATTAGATCAAGGGCAAACACAACAAGGGGATTGAACTTTGATCACATGATAAAGCGAGAGCACACAAGGGAGGTATGAAGATAGGTCAGACACCTTAAAAACTAGATAGCATTTGTTGCCCTCAATGCAGAGAAACTAAAGCAGATACTTTAAAGCAACTGAGGCCAATAGGAGAAGGGGACCAGGAACTAGAGAAAAGGTTAGATCAAGAAGAATTAACTTAGAAGGTAACATACATGCACAGGA